AATTAAAAAAAAATAGTATCCAAATACTAGGAAGATGGCTCAGTACAGTGCTTGCCAGACAAGCATGAAGATCTGAGTTTAGATACCTAGTACCCACATAAAAAGCCAGGTATGGTGATGTGCACCTGTAATCTTTAGCACCTGGAAGGTAGAGACAGATTCCTAGGGCTTGCTGGTCAGCTAAGCTTATGGAATTGATGAACTTCAAGCTTAGTGAGAGACCTTGTCTCAAAGAATACTGTGTACAGGAAGACACTGAACATCGAACATTGACCTCTGGCCTCCACAATACACAAATGCACACCAGGAACATGTACACATACCTACATTGCCATACTCATTCACCTGCACACACACAAACACACACACACACACACAGGGTTGTATTCAGTAGTGACTGAACTTAGTGATCATAAACATGAGAAGACTCAAAGCTATTGGTACATTTTACAAATGAGGAAACTGAAGCACAGAGATGCTAAGAAACTTGTTCAAGTTTCCACAGCTGTGGTCACAATTGTGAACCAAAGCCCTACTTATAAAGCCTGAATACCCCCAGCCATATCCACAATTCTCAAAACCATCTTTGAAGTTGTGTGGACACCTGTCTATCCCCAGAGCATTCACACCCCACACCCAAATATAGGATTTCGATGTTTTGTGGTGCTGAGGTAATTTAATATTATTTGAAATAATTTTAATTCATAGGAAAAAGGTAGATACTGAACTTTATAGTGTTTCTATCCCTCCCTTTCTTTGCCATTTTTTTTCCCATTAAAGGACAATTATATTTGTAAGGAGGCTTTGTTAATTTTGGTTTTTTTGAAAAGTAAAGGAAGGAGCTCTGATTTACTGTGGTAAATGTTTGGGGACCAAATTGATTGTTGTTTTCCTCTCAAGTTCTTTCCTCCTCTCCACTTCCCTCCCACAATCCTCGGTTCTTATTTATCGTCTAGAAATGCCAGGTGTTTCATGTGAGCCTATCACGGATTCTTACCATCAAGTAAGTGTTTTTGAATAGCTAAATGTCAGCCAATGACCCCTACTGATAAGACTCAAAATTTAAAAAGAAATGAAATGGGGAAGAATTAGAAGCCAAATCTCCCAAAAGTAAAACCTCAAAAAAAAAAAAAAAAAAGAATTTCACAACAATCATAAGCCAAGCCAATGAATATTTTATTAAAGCAATATGGAACACTACTAGATGCCTCTAAGTTCTGGGAAGGTAGGAAAGTGGTTGGAATCATTTTTCTCCTGGGGCTTCCATGTTATACTGTCAAGGAAAGTAAAATCACAGGTTACTTTAAAAATTAAAACAGTTATTTTCAACTTCATATAACATTTTATATCTTATACTTAAACTCAGCCTTGGTATTTTCTACTATTGTTTACTACCAAGGGGGAAAGTTCAGATTTAGGGAAATGTCTGTGTTTTCATTTTGCACAGAGTTAAGAAAGTAGGTAAGCATGGCATTTCTTGCAAAGGAAACAAGCTACTTGACCTTTTTCTTGGTAGAATTTCTATTGGACAAATTGTGATTTGTCTTGGTAGTAATATCTAATGTCATAACTATATATTCTGTAGGTGGTTGGAATATGGAGAAGTTTTATTTAACATTCAGGTTATTCAAATGATACCTCTCTTCACATGTGTCCTTTTACTGTAGGTAAACCCAGTGGGCATGTTCATATGTGTGCGTGTCCCAATAGCACTGTTATTTTGAACCATAAAACAGGGATATAGTTTTTTTCTAATCTTTAGAGTCAGTAAATCACTATGAGAGTTGGGGAAATAATTTTCTCAGTTTCAGCTTTTAATCAGCTTAACCTTTGGCCTCTTCCCAGTGAAGTTCTAGGTTAAGGGTAAACCTAGCCTACCTCTAGTCCAGATGTGGCTGGCTAGAGGTCTGAAATGAAAAGATCATCCCTTTGATGCCAAAACAATTCTGTTACAAGCAGGGTAATGAATTTATTTTAATTTTAGATTTGTCTCTTTTGAAAAATAAGTAGAGGATGTGGTTTGACTTAAGGAAGAAAATATTCATTTAAGATTATGATTACTTATTAACTTAGGAAATAACTTATTCTCAATATTTGAGGCTTTCAGTTTTCACCAGAAAAACTTGTTTTGTTCCAATTTTTTGTTTAAAATCTTTGAAGTAATTAAAAATTGTTCTGCCTGGGAAAGTAGTATAAAGAGTGACACTGATTAAACACTCAGTTTCATTAGAAGTACATGGTAGTCTTTTGCCTAGTGTGAGTGTTTGGTACTTAGTGTGTCAATTGTGATGGAGAAACTAAATTTTAAATTTTATTTCATCTTCATTCATTCAAATTTAAATACTAATGTGTTGAGTTATGCAGGTATAAAATGTAATTCCAAGTTAATATACATTTCTGATTTGAAGTATACCTTAGCATTATAATGCTATATATCTACATTTTGATTAGGGAAGCATGGTGTCCTTACTGTCTTTGATAAGTAAAAATTACTTTCAGATTTTTTAATGTTCGTTCTCAATGTTTGTTACTTAGAAGTTTGTAGAAATATGGACTGAAAATAAGCTTGTTTGGTTATGTTTTCCTTTTTTTCTAATATATGAATTCTGAGAAATTTTCATTAGAGTCACCATTTATTGAAGTTGAACTCTTCAATATGGGACAAACTAAATATTATAAAGCATGCAAGACAAAAATGTATGTGGAGATCCACAAAGTAAAGTTTATGAGCTTCATGTGAGAAATAGTTTAGGCAGTTATTGAAACTGAGACATTATTTATGTGAAAACTTATTGTAAACCCTCAGTTTTTAAAGATTTACCACATAAACATTGTGTTTTGCCTCGGACCTCCCTGCTCTTTGAAGCTTATTAACCTCCAAGAGAATTTCATCAGTACTAGCCTTAATCTGTACACATGGGGAGTAGACATATTTTACTTAATAAGGGAATTAAAATGCTTGCCTATCATCTTAAGGGAATAAAAAACAAAATGTCTACATACCGGCTGCCTGACCGTGTTCTGGTACCACTTCATAGGGGTAAGCACCTTAAGAGAAAGAGACATTAGAATGCATTTGATTTGATTTAAGTTCATATAAACTAAATACTAAACTCACTAAAGCAGTATGAAACTATGGACTCACTAATGCATTCCTGCAGTACTGATAGCCTGAGATTGTGATGTCTATAAGAAAGAAGCTAAATATGTGTCCAGTGCTCCAATATCAGGTACTGTGTTATTAACAATCCATCACATACATTCTGCAAGTCTTCATCCATTCTCTGGGGCAAGTAGAGGTATTCATGAAGAATTGGAATTCATTTACTTAACAAAGGTTACAAAAATGATAATTCTGTTTAAGTTTCACAGCTCATGCTTCTCACTGAAAGAACAAAGCATGGAGCTTCAGATGGTGCCAGGGATGGTTAATTCCAGGAGACAATGATGCTACAAAGATTCTGAGGACATTTCATTTTTTTACTTGCCACTTTTTGTCACAAGACATCAGACACAGCTCCATACATCGCACCTCAAAGAAATGATTGGAAGAACAGCATTTTTCCCACAGTGTATCTATATGTTTTTCAATTAGAGAGAAAACTTATCCCTAAAAGTTATTTCTCTCCAGGAGACTTGCCATTTGTCCTCATTCTATAATCAGGCTGTGCTATACCCTATCCCATAACTAATCATGGAAAAAGGGTATAGTGCTATGGTTACTGATACCATAGTTGGAATGGCTGAATGGACCTTCATTCCCTGGAGCAGGAAAGAAGGCTCATCTCCTGAGTGGGTGGAAAGCCAGATGCTGGGATCAATTACTGTGCTGCCAACAAGGAAGAAGTTGTGAGGAAAGCTGATGCACAGCTAGCTAATGAGGACTGATATCTCTTCCCTTGCATTTTGACTGCACTGCTGCCTTAGAATTTATACCATTTGGGCTTCTGTTACCATTGTTGGATAATTTAGTTTATCCCTTTGGTAGAATCTATATTCCTTAAGAATGAGGACTTACTAGTTTCACCATCCCATGGAATAGTACCTAGTCTAGTGAGTGCTTGATAAATATTTACTCAATTGATTTAAAGTGACCTGTGCTAATTGAGTAAATGCTGTCTTACTGCACTCAATGCCTTAAAATCAAGTTATTTGTTTGAATATTGATACCCTTCCTTTAAAGTTATGTTTATTCATTCCAGAAAATGATTAAGAGGCCTTAATCGTAAAGGTACTGGAATAAAGTTACTGTGGGTGCTGTGTAATATAAATCCTGCAAAGACTGTTTACAATTTTGTGTGGGTGTAGGAGGAAAAAAGGATTCACATATAAATATAAGTGGGAAAGAAAAACTTGGTTTGAGTTCATTTTATGCATCTTTTAACGTTTTGAAGACTGCGGTAGAGTTCCTCATCTTAAAGATTATGAAGTGAAAGAAATGACTTGTATATAAAATCACTGCAATTCTGTTTGAAGTTCCATTATTAAATTTTTCTTAGGGAAACTAATTCCTTTAATAATTTCAAATTCAGTGACTTGGTATATATAGCACATAATTTCACTGAAAATATTTTTCTGTAGAATGAGATCAAAAGACCAAATTTTGATTATGAATACGGTGTGAAGTATAAAGCCAGAGGTCCAAATCTTAAATTGCTTTAGGGTATAAACATTTCTTAAGAGTTTATCTTTTTCACTGTAAAGAATTTTTCTTCTAATCTTCCCTTCATTTGGATCAGGTTCAGGGACTAACCATGCTGAATATTTTCTTTGTTACTTTTTCAGCTATTATTAATGATGTACAAATTTAGATTTTAAGAAAAGATCTGAGATAATATAAAGCTTCTCTAAGAAGAGATTCAGTCCTTATTTACCTGCCAAATGGTCAATTTGTAGGAGCAAATGACCAGGTCCTATCTTATCCACAAATATTTAGTTATAAGCTGTTCTCTCAAGTGATAGAAAAAAAATTTAAGTTTAATTCAACACAAAGACATGAATGATTTTTAAAACATTTTATTATCTGCTAATGATACTTATTTTTAGTTACAGGATTTACTAAGTAAAGTGATTGTAGGCACAAATCATTGTATTCTTGAGTTATTCCTAAAAACAACCGAAGTATCCACTTCGGATCTCTCATTCTCTGATTTTTTTAATCCTGAAAAAATATAGCAAAAGGAACAATTAAAATATTTTACAAACATTCCTAGTGAATACCATTTACAATAATAAGTATGGTTTCATTTTGTCAAAACAATGTAGAACCATTGAGTTTAATTCTATAATTTGTGAAGTTTCTTATCTTGTCATTAAATACAAGGTCCCTGTGTTCAAGACACTAAGACATAATATCTAATAATATCTTAGCAACTGCTATCTTTCATCAAGTAGTTCCTGTAGCCAAGCTGGAAGGTCATCACTTTATCTCATTTCCATTAAGAAATTATCAATATTGGTACTTTAATTTTAAACAGGAGGAGAGTTTTAAAAAGTTCAAGCTGCCTACCCAAAGTCACCTTTCCATAAATAGTTTTAGCAAGATAAGAAAAATTATCAAATCTGTGGTGTTAATAATTAATAAAGATACAAATAAACCCATTTTCTATGCAAACAGAGAACATGTACCTTAGACTAGACTAATCAACGATAGGTACAAGATTGTTCAATTGTAGTCAGTTTGAAAAAGTTCTGCCTCGCCTCCATAAACAGACTCACAGTAGTAAAGACACATATGACATATAACAATTTTATAGAAATACTAGGGCATTAAGACCTAGAGTTTCCATCCTCTTCCCCATTTTAAAGAGGAAAATACACCCATAAACTTGCAGAGACAAAGCTAGACTAGAACCCAGATGTTCAGGCTCTCAAGCTTAGTCATGTCTTCTGCACTCTTCTGTTACTTAACAGCACATCATAAATAGTATTTATAAATTGAAATCACATTTGGATATATATGTATATAGTCTGTTCATGTCACTTCATATATAGATAGATTGTGTGCATATGGATCATTTTAATGACTATTCTCATTTGTTTGTAAGTGCTCTCTGTAATGCAGGAAGATTTAATGGTAAATAGTGACAACTTCCTGCCAAAAGCTTAATTTCTTGAGTGCTAGCACTTTCAATTTAGATAGCCAGTTTAGACAGGTAATCTTCCTTTATGTCTTGAAAGATATTTCCTATCTGCCTCTTGCAGCTTGTTCAATTATCTGTCCTCCTCAGTCTCAAAAATTAATCATTCTATGTCCTTCTTGCAGTTGTAGCCTATTGAAGCAAGTCAGACCTTTAAAATATGAAAACTGATATTCCCCTTTACTGTTACCCTTAAAATGAATGTATTGCAGTAATATATATTCCTGTGGGAATTCAATAATGATAAAATTTAAATGCTCCATGAAACCTGTACTGTTAATTACCAAGGTATGTGTCAAATTCATTTGTAATATAAATTTACAGCATATACTTCAACTACTAGAATTACAGACCTATAGTTTCTGCAGCTGTAGGACCTGAGTCATTTGGGAGCTAAAAACTGTGGCGGCAGTTCTGATACGGCACTTTCCTACGATTTGTCTTCTACTGATTTCAAGGTATACTCACCACTTCTTCCCGCTTGGTCTTGTCTGTCGCTGGCCAAGCTTCCAGAGGCAGATCAGGAAGAATGGGGGGCAGGGGCTGCATGGGGAACAGTGGAGGCAGAGGTGGCTGTGGTGGGAGGGGCTGCATGGGGTGCAGAGGTGACTGGGGCTGCATGGGCTGATGAGACTGGGGCTGAATGGGCTGGGGCTGGAAGGGCTGCTGGAAGGGCTGCTGGGCAGATGGAGGGAGGTTTGGCTGGTGGTGTTGGGTTGGAGTCATGGAGTGGTGGCCAGGAACTGGCATCATTGGTTGCTGGGGGACCACTGGCTGTTGAGCTGGCACCACTGGGAGGTGGTGATGAGGCTGAAGGGTGTGACTCTGGGGATGCTGTTGAGACAGCACAGGGATGATTTGGTGGTGCAGCCATCCACCCATGGGTTCGTAACCATAGGAAGGATACTGGTGAGAAACAAAGAGTCAGGTTTACCATTGGCTCAGTTGATTTGCAACTGGAGAAGCAGCAGTGTTTGTTATTATGACTATATGAATATTTTACTCACTTTTTCCCTTGTAAGAATTTCTAACAGTGTACACAGATATGACCTTTTACCAACTAAAATTCCCATTAGTGTTTGTAGGTGGAGTAGACATGATATTTCACTTAATAAGGGAATTCAAATGCATGCCTAATATCTTAAGGGAAGAAAGAACAAAATGCCTACATACCGGCTGCCTGATCATGCTCTGGTACCACTTCAAAGGTGTAAGCACCTTAAGAGAAAGAGATATTAGAATGCATTCGATTTAACTTAGTTTCCTATAAACTAAATACTAAACTCGCTAATGCAGTATGAAATATAGACTCACTAATGCAGTCCTGTCAGTATTGATAGCCTGAGAATGTGACTTCTACAAAAGAAAGAAGAGGGTAAACATTTGTTGGGTGCTTCCTATGTGGCAGGTACTGTGTTACATCCATCACATACACTTTTCATGTTTGCTTACATGATTTGAGGCAAGTGCCATCAACCTCCGTGTTATAGACAATGTCATGAACACTCGAATGGTTCATTCACTCCGCTGAAGTCTTAAATATTTAATTCCACAGTTCCTGCTCTTCATTGTAAGAGCAAAACAATTAAGAATGTTTGACACAATCATGTGATAGAATATGAGTTCTTATTTGATATCACAGTGGGACAAAAGGACATTGAAACACTGTCTTTCCTCCTAAAGGCACAGATTTCTTGGTCAAATATGTCAACCCTTTCAGATAAAATAGTAATATTTGCCTCAGATTCATACTAACAGTTTTCTTCAGCTTATATGAATAAACAGACTCACAGATTGTTACCTGAACCTGTGAGAGAAGTAAAGAGCTGCATCCCTTTCTGGACAGTAGGTGCTTAGTTAATCTCAGATTTATAGCTTCTTGATATAGTAGTACATCATTTAATCAGTGCAACAACAAGAAACTATTAGCCGTATGCAAGTTATTACTGACATAGCACTGTCCCTGTCCAGTAATTATTACTCTCTAAATAATATTTTGAAGTGAAATTAATTATCATTGTTTCCCTTCTCTAGATAAAGAAACCAAAGTTCCATAGAGAGAAAATGATTTTCCCAAGGTGATGTGATGCAGCTTGTACAGGTTGAGGAGAACCTCAAACCCTATTTCTAGAACTCTTCTGCTTTCTATCACTCTGCAGAGACTCCTGTAAACTACTTAGCAAAGCCGATGATAAACACACATAGTGTATGAATGTCATCGAACCAGCAATTTTCCAGCTAGAAAGGAGTTTAACATCTTACTTACTCCTCACATTTTATAGGCTGTGATAGAACAAAACTGTTCAAGCCGAGTTCAGTTTCTGCCCTATCATGGAGCCTTTCTGAGTTTGTGGTGGATACATTTATAGCTAGGTTTAAGAGCAGAGGCTGAGTCAGAGTGACCAGATAGGAGGTTGCTGGGACAATGGAGGCTTGAGGCCACCTGTCAAGGTTTAAAGCTGAAAAAGTTTGACCGTTTGTGAAACATCTTGAATGTAGAATCAATACACCGCTCTTTACAGATCCCAGGGCATTTTTAACTCAAACTATGGTCAAAGTGAGTAAACAGAAAAAATTACCTCATAGCTGAAGTTGATATAACCAGGGTGCCCAGGATGAGGTGGTAGCTTTTTTAAGAAGAGGAGGAAGGTAAATAGAAAGGGAAAGGGAGGGAGAGGGAAAGGGAGGAGGAGAAAGAGAGGAAGAGATTAAGTCAGTATGCAATTGTTCACATTAAGGGATTCTAAAACTATGTTTTGAAAAAAAAATTGTGCATAGTACAGAATATATTTGAGGTCTACTTTTAGTCTGAGTATGTATGCTGTGTATCAGCCTTCTTATTTTAAAGAGGGCCCATAAAACTTAGTGACTTCCCCAGGAGTCATGGTCTTACAGTGGGAGCCCTAGAAGCAGAAACCAGCATACATTTGCCTTCAGTGATCTTTGGATAAGCCCATCCACGCCCTGTTGTCAAGGAGTCCTACCGTTTCCCACCCACCAGATTACTTGATGAAACTCCTTCCATGTTAGGAAGAGAGGTCTGTACCTTTTACACAATTTTAAAATACCAATGAGAAAGAATTGTCTCACAAAGGGACCCTTCACAGATCAGCTGGCTACATGCTCAAGTATCAAAGGGATTCCTAGTAATTAGCATGAAAAGTAAGTAAATGATAACACATCAACACTAACGAATGGAACAACTAGCTGGGTATTATTGTTGAACGTGAGAGCAAGATGAGTGCCATCAAGTATAAACATTCTAAATCCCTCTTGTAGACAATAAAATAATTGATTTATGAAGTTCAAGGCCAAGCCTTTCTATTATTCTGTCAATGATTTATGGCAGAAATTTAGAAGTTCCAAATAAAAAGAAACCTGAATAATTTTCTAAACCAGGACTGACTGTGCTTCCCTAAGTGGAGGCCAGCTGATGCCTGCCTTATGGAGTTCTGCCTGGCCCTGGAGGGGTGGGGCAGGAGACAGAAAGGAGAGCGTGTGGAGCAGAAACCTTTCCTCAAACACACAGCTACTTAAGGATGTATTCTATTCTATTCGTCTAAAATGCTCATGTTTTGCAATAGTCTCATCTGAATGTAAACTACATTAGTTTGGTAGCTGTTTTTTTCATATATGGTCCTGATATAAGCTCTCTGAGAGTGAGGTATTGAACTGTATAATGAAAAGCAACTCAATTTGTAATGTAGGGCCTCCTCAGAGGACTAGGAATCACCACAATGCAGGATTTCGGGAAGGTGGAGCATAGAATCTTGGTCTTGTGGGTGAGACAGAAGAGAGGAGGCAGGTATGCAAGCTTACTGGCTTCTGGTTGTATCAACTGCTCCTTATGCCACCAAAAAGTATTGCTGGCATGTGACCTAAGCTTTCTGCCCTTATGTACTTGTGTCTAGAGAGTGGGCCAGAATTCCTGGTGTTTGGCACATTTTTGAATATGAAATATATCAATATGTATATGGCATAGGCAGCATTCCAGAACCTTACCAGTGCCAATTCACCTGCTAAGCAGTTACACCAAAGCCATAGGTAGGGTTTCTGTAAAGGGGGAAGTGGTTCAAGAAAGGATTCCTAAGGCAGAATTATTGTGTCCTTAAGGGCAACAATTCTGGTCTTTGGAGGGTAAAAACAGATTTTGAAATTTGTGAGAAATTGAGTTTCAGAGGGTTTTTGGTGTAATATTTGCCTAAGGCTGATTAAACATTGTCTCTGGAAGCCTTTCAAGGATCTCCTTGTAGGGATGGGCAGTGGTATTTGCAAGCTAATTGTTACAGCAGAGTCTCCTGGTGGCACTTGTTAAAATCCTGAGTGCTTGGCTCCGCTTCAGCTCTACTGAATCACAATCTACAGTGGAAGAAGTCAAGATTTCTTTTGAACACTCTCCTCAAAGTGTTTCTTCAATACACTGACATTTTGGAATATAAGGTCTCTTACTGTTCTAAACCCAGAATTTATTAGCCAAGGGGCAGATTTTTTTTCCAAGCTTATGATATTGAATACAGTCTATGCACACAAGGGCTGTTTTACTCACAGGCATAGCAAAAGCTGCTCCCAGGAGGCAGGCAAACAAAATCCAGGTCCCCATTTCTTGATGGTTCTGAAATGTAAGTCAACACCAGATTTCTTTTATCTCTTTGTGAGTATGAGCATAAATAGGTTCCATAAACATACATCATCCACATCAGTATGTTACTAATATAGAAGACAGGGCTCTTCTTTTAAAGTGACTTAATTCATATGTGATTATTTCCAGCTCTTAATCCATATCATTGTTTCTGGGGTCATAATAGTAAGGCAGAGGCTTTCAACAAGACTTAAAGTTAACAAATTATAGGAGCACAAATGACCTATCATAGCAATGATTTTGCCTACCATTTTTCTATGCCTATATGTCCTATAGAATTACAAAATCTAAAAATGAATGTATAAATAATGATTAAAGGAATACATGTAAAAATAATACATGTAGAAATGTATTCTGTATATTATTTCTCAATATGGAAGCTAAATTTAATGTATAAATATTGATCTAAAACTTTAAAAGTTGATACCATCAAAGTACAAAGTATTTTACAGGTCTGCAACAAGAAAAGTCAGAAATGTTGGGGTTCTGTGTACAGCCCCCTTGACTACTGACACTGTTCAAAACAGACTACTTAGTTGAGAAAAAAATATATTAAGTAATTTTCTGGAATAGATTAAGGAAAGTGTAGGTTTATTTTCAGATGTTACTTTCTGTAGAATTTCTGATAAGTATCTGTCATAACTATCTTTGAGCTCCAGATGTGAAGCAAAAGATATGGATAAACCATTCTTTGCTACTTTAATGATTCTGGAAGAATTTCTTCCTAAAAAATTCTATCTTCAGTCAGTAGAATCATCTTTTGTTTGTCACTACACTGAAATTCTTCTACAAATTAAGGCCCTAGAGATATGAAGCTAAAACAGACCATCCTAAAATATGCACATTGCTGTATGCCAACACCTTGAATTTTATATATAGGAAATAAATGTAATGGGTTAACTTATCTGGCTGTGAAAAGTACATTGAAGCTTTCTATTTTCTCAATAGGTTTTTTTAGAGGTTTAGTTAATAAGAAAAAAAACATTTTGTTCAGGATTCCATTTGATATAATTAAAAGTGGTTTTAAAGAAGTAGATCACAGCCTGTGAATGCAGTTTTTATCTTAATTAAAAAACAAAATAAATGTTTGCTCTGACATATGATTCAGAAAAGAGTTTTGGGATACTTGAATTAAAAGTTAAAGAAATGCAAGCATACACTTTAAGTAATCAGAGACTAATTTAATCACAGTTGAACTAAGAAGTAACCATGATGTTGGACATTAGAAATGTGACATATATTCACACCTTTTAAACATGAAAGTCAAAGAAAGAAATGAACATGATAAAGATATCATGTGAGTAAATTGTGAATAAAATTCATTCACTTACCTTTGAATGTATTCTGAGTGACTGTCTGTCTGAAGCTCAGGGATGCTTGATCCGATAGTTTCCTTCCAACTGTGAGCCCAATATATACTAGTCATGGCATCCCCAACATCCAATCAGATTTCGGAATGAAAAATGTGTTGACTATAAGCAAAAATCCCTGCATCATGATTTTTCTAGATGCTGTGAGCAACGGTAAGACTGTATGTTGTGATTAGTGTACATAGTCTTTCATTACAGACAATAATAGGTTTGGGAGACTGCCTTGAAGTCAGCAAATTAGTTGACGGCATATGCTGATATATTCGAATTCATTTTGAAGAAACAGCTATGCCATTGTCTATTTCTCATTTTGAGCAAATAACATTGTCCTTTAATAAAAAAAAAAAGTGGATGGTCAAGTCTGTCCAGTGTACTTAAATGGCCATTAGGGTTCTCCAGACTTTTTGAATCAGGATATCTGAATTAAAATCCCCTTCTGGTAAAATCCAAAACTTTCTCATAATTTCACAGTCACCAGTGTTCTTTCTAAACTTCTATTAAAGCTATTCTCTTTGTCCCCTACGTACTTTATCTCCAGTCTGATGTCCACCAGAAACCCACATGCTATGGAAGCAACTGTGACTTCAAGGTTATTACAGCAACAGCACTTACTCTGATAATCAGAGGGACAAAGTAAACACATTTCGCATGCCAGAAAATGCACTTGGAAGTCCACTTGAATCTTTACAAACATGTATCACAGGAGGTATTGCCCTGGTTCCCCTGTAAAGCCACTTGGCTTTTCTCTGGTCTTTTTTAGTCCCCACCAAGTCCAGTTTCTCATATTGCAAGTTGAAACTCCCCTCTCTTGTTCAGACTCTATTAAATGTCTCTTTACTAGCATTGTCCCCATTAGCAGCCCCTTTGCTTATACGTTAACCCAGTCCATTTGATCTGCAAGAGGACTTATGATTTAGCTATTAAATTTATGTCTTTTCACCCCTCTTCCTTAATAAAACATGTGTTATTTTTCTCTATTTTATAATCTGATCATATAAGAAACACAACTGTAAATAGTGGCAGGAGGTAACTGATAGGGCTTTCTTTCATCAGCACTAGATCTCTATGGGAAATGCTCAATATATACCCCGATACAATTGGTGTTATAATTGGGTCTTTTAAATACTTAAACAATATTTATGAAGTTTTTACAAATATACATATTTTATGCATTTGTTAAATTGGCAAAATAAAATACAAGGATAAATTGGTTGTAAAAGTATGCAATTCATAGTGATCATGATGAGACAGAACTTAGGCCACATTACTCCTGAGTCTAAATTCAGCACAGATTGAGGGAACATTGTGAAAATACTTGGCGGGCCTGTGTAATATGGGAAAAATAGTACAATCTGCCTAACAAGATTACTGTGAAAAATGGATTGGAGCAAAATATAGGGACGTTCAAAGTTGATTATTGTCCACTCTACTCTCATTACAAGAAAAATGGGAAATGTTTGAAGAATGCTAATGATAAATAATATATAACATGATTTAAGAGCTAAGATGGTCTTTGGAAATGATCTTTCAGTCAGGGAGAGAGAGTAGGAAGTAGAAGGTTGTAATAGGGTAAATGTATACATAAAATAAACATAAATATGGCTTTAAGAACCAAAATATGCCCAAGGCTTGCACTAATTGATGAATAAGTTAACTGCTGAATCATAGATCTGAGGCAAAAGGATTGTCTCTGAAGGAAGTTGAGAAATAGATTTTGGACATTTGGCAGAGGTGTACAACACAGTACTGAAGGAGAATAAGGAAAATATAAATAATCTATTCTTCCAGTCTTTTGACCCATTTTGTTGAATTACATGAATGAATGCCTGAAAGAATTTAGGACATCTTTTTCTCCTACAAAGCTGTAGCTGATTCCTATTAATAGAAAAATTACTTTTGGCATTAGAGCATCAGAAAAATTTATTTCATTACTGTTTTTTAACCTTTCAAGATTGGTCACAATGAGCAACAGATATGTTCTTATTATGGCACTTATCTTCTGGCACTGGAGATAAGTCACTGTACATTTACCATGGACAGCAGTTCATCAGTCTTTGATATCTAATTTCTTAGAAATAATATATTTTCCACTTGTTTCCTCTACTGTGTGTCTTGAGTTAATGGATATTAAAGTATGGATCTCTTTGCCTGAAATCTGTTACAATAATTTAGCTACCATTTATATAGTTTAAAATTTGCCAAGTACCATCAAGCTTGGTAACTCACATTCCCAGTATTGCACAAACTCAGGCTAGAGTATCTTCACTGTTTGTGTATAGCCTGGTCTACACAATGAGTTCCAGGACAGCTTGGACTACAGTGTAAGATCCTATTTGAAAAATACCAAGTTCAATTAGAAATGGAAAATAATCAGAATAAACTTTTGGGGAAAAACAAATGATCAGCAAATATATGAAAAATGCTCAGTGTCATTAGATATCAGGAAAATACAGAGATGAGATGCCGTTTTATTTAGAATGGCTATTCCCAAAAAGACAAGAAGTATCAAAGGCTGTCAGGGATGAAAAAAAGAAAAAAAAAGAAATTTTGGCTGAGGATAGAAATTTCCAATCCTAGCTACTGTGGAACACAGCATTGAGGTTCTTCCAAACACTAAAAAGAGGCCATCAGTATGATCCAGATAGTCAATATCTGGGTATATATGCAAAGAAAGTAAAAGCAGTATGTCAAAGAGAGATCTATACTCCCAGGTTAATTGTAGAGCTCTTTTAAATAGCTAAGACACAGAGTCGGCATAGATACTCATCAACAGAAGAATGGACAAAGAAAATGTTCATGTATAAAATGATGTTTTATTAATTCATAAGGAAGAATGAAATCTTATAATTTACAGGGGGAAAATGAGGATAGAACTAAAGGACATTATGTTAAGGGAAATAAGTCAAATACAGAAACCCAAATCCTCTATGTTCTCTTTCATATGTGGAAACTGTAAAAGTTGATCTGAATTTAGAATAATGATTTCTAGATTCTGGGAAAGGCAGGGTTGGGGTGTGAAAAGCAGGTATGAAAACACAATTAGAAGAAATAAGTTCTGTTGTTTCATGGCATACTGGGATGGTTATAGTTCACATTACACTACCATATAGTTTATGGTCTTGAAGAGAGGAGCTCAGAGGCCACAAACATGAAGACATTACTAGGAGACGGAAGGGCTTATTATCCTGATTTGATCAGTGTATACTGTGTTCTAGCATTCAAATATCATACTATACTCCAACAATATGTATACTTAATGTATGTTAGTAAAATATAAAAGATATTGAATGTCTCAGAAAAAAAATTTCATCTGATTTTTTTCCCTATAAGCAGTTGTTTCATTTATGTCTAAGTTGACTTTAGAAGATTGGCATTGCTAGATCAATAACTTATTTTGTTAAATAGAGGTTATAATATCTCCAGAATATCCTTGTTTTTCTTGCACTTTGAAATAGAAATTTTCTTCTTTAAAAAAAAAATCATGGGGCTGAAGAGGTGGCTCAGGGGTTAAAAGCATTTGTTGTTCTTTCAGAGGACTCAGGATCAATTTCCAGTCCCACATGGTGCTTATGCCGCCCCCTCTGACTTTTCTGGACAGTACACACATACAAGTAACCAGACCAGCAATCAAAACACTCACACAAATAAAAATAAATAAATGATTTTAAAATGATAAAATAAAAATAATTAATTAAAAATCCACATTTTAAACTGAATCTTAAGCATAAAATGGTTTCCTTATGGCAATATCTCTGGGACAAGTGAAATGAAATGGTCCCAAAATGTGTTCTTATTTACTTATGTATTCACCCCAAATATGTGTGTGTGTGTGTTGAATAGATATCAACTACAGACTGTTATTCCTATAATAGAGAACAAATGATATGTGAATTTATTAATATTTCTAAAAACTGTTCTCTAATGTGATAATGAATAAATGCCCTTCTGAAATATAATGTAAATATAAAGTTCTTTTGCCAATTTTTGCAAAATTGTTATTCCTTTCTTTGATTGGAGCCATCACAGTTTGCTGTTCCCAGAAAGCTTATGCTAGCAACTTTTCCCTTCTAATTTGATATTTCTAATTTATGTTTTGCTGAGAAGCCAAAGGCCTAAGCTCATTAGAGATATGTGTCAACTGCATGTAAAGGAACACTCTCACCTGGAATGGCCTACTTACAGGGGCTCACCTATGAGGAATGCTCAAGACTGTCAGTTTTGTGGCATTAAACTGACTTCTGGAAGCGTGTTTGTATTAATGTCTGGGAGTTCTGTGTTGTGACTTACTGCCTGAGGCCTAGCACCTTTTGACTTATGAGGGTGATCACTAGAGAAGAGGGGATCAGGAATACTATAAACCTTTCTTTTCACCTGTATAGTACCTCAGTTCTTGAGTCTTCTATTAATACAGACCAGGGATTAGCCAATGTTCTAGAATAATTTCAAGGGTATTTTTAGGTATCTGGGACCAAATCAGCTTTTAAATGTTTTGTCTGTAGACATTCACTCATAAGAAAGTACTAGAAAGAAAGAAAGAAAGAAAGAAAGAAAGAAAGAAAGAAAGAAAGAAAGAAAGAAAAAGAAAGAAAGAAACTATTCTCTAGGATTGGGTTTTTTGAATTGCAATTGGAGTCCTACCTTCGTCACAATTTACACCTGTCACCACTTATTGATTCTGATATTCATTGGTACTTTTGCCCCACTGCAACCCTTGGAAGGTATTGTGTCTTATACTTCCTCATGAAACATTTTATAACTCAGAAAAAAATTACTTATGTGAAGTAGGTGTTAGATGATTAATTGATGAAAATGCCAAAATTATCCATGATATTGTGGAAATATGGAAATTGTGAATTATTCATAGGTAAATGCTGCAGTAATTTAGGTGGGATGAATAGGAAATGTCTCCTTTCTCTAAATCACTCCATTTCTTCCCCCCTTCTTTCTGTCCCTTGCTTAACTTAGCAGATATTCACCAAATCACCAACAGTTTTCATCTAGGAAATTCATTTCT